GAGGGCAGTGTCACTGGCCCTCATATGTGGGATCCAAACTGGGGCCCTCTGGTGTCCCAAGCCAGTTCTTAACCATCGTGCCACTTGGCTGGCCTTCTCTGCCTTTTATTAATGAACTCTGAACATCACTGTTTCTGGCACCCAGCAGTGTCTGGCATGATTGCTCGGTAACAGAAATGGGGGAGCGGTGGCGGTGGTGATTAATAGGGAGGGTAGGGAAAGCAGCTCAAGGAGTAGAATATGGAATCAGGGTGAATAGGATACTGAGGAACATTTTCATCTGGCTCATGACTGTGAAGTCCCCTCCTCTACTCTGATACATTTATCTACCTTAAGCCACACAGACAACTGGTCAACCATCATTTTTTCCAGCATCCCAAGTTCACCCAACTGATATTTTGCTATACCATTTTTTCCCACATACCATTTCATTTCCCAACGTATCAACAATTACAAAAAGGTCATTCTTGAATGGGTATCTCCAACTATCACTAAGCAAAGATGGTGCCCTTTCTTTCACATGATCTGTAATTGGACAGACATACTGGTAACTAGAAAATTTTCTTCCCCCCATCTGAATGTGGCAGCTGAAATGAGTAGGAGCATGTTGAACTGAAGGATTTTCTCTCCTTGACGCTGTCATATCTGGAAGGAGAGGGGGCACTTTGGAATTCCATTAGCCAAAATTAATTTTTCTTTCTTTCTTATATTCACTCATTTACTTAGCCAGCCTGGCATCTGGTCCTCCTGTGCTACTTCTTTAGGATATGGCCAAGACAGGTCAAACCAGAAGGGGACATCGTGACAGCTTACAAGACTAGTCTATTATGTCTAATAAGTTATCTGGACTACTTTTCAATGATAGAACAAATGTGAGACCATTTCGATGAGAGCTCTTTGTGCCCAGGCCACCCATTTTGCTTTTAGCTATCAAGTAATCTCATCAAAATATACACAGTCAAAAGAAGCATATCCTCAAGATCCTAAAGAAAGATTAGAGATGGCATCTTTCCTGCCCTCCCCCACCCCAAGAACCACTATATTTAGGCTGAACCACTTTACAAAACAATCAAAACACTGGTTATCTTACTCTTTTCCCAATATATCAAAATTGTTCCCCTGAGGCACTGCCCTTGCTGTTACTGTAACATGAAATTCTCCCCAAAAGCTACTTATTGGCTCAGTCTCGCTTCACCTGGTCTTTGCTCAAAAATCATCTCAAAGATGCCTTCTACAATGCCATTACTAGCACTTTCTATTTCCTTCGCCTGATTTTCTCTTTACCACTTACTACTACCATCAGGAGACATTATATAAGTTCATTTATGGCACAATTTACACCACCCCCCATCCCACCCCCACATTGTAAACTCTATAAGGGTAGGGCCTTTGCATTTTTTATTCACTGCTGTATCCCCAATGCCTAATAAAGTGCCTGCTGGTCAATACGTATTTGTTGAATGAATGAATAGAATCAGACTAAATGCCAAATAGTGTAACTTAAATAAGTACATGTATCAAAATATTTACGGAAAAAATGGTTAATTTCAACATAATCACCTTGGGTACCTATAATTTCAACATAGTCACCTTGGGTACCTATGTACACACCTACTCCTCACAATGCTGCCTTTGCTAAAAATCTGCTGGGAACTCTGCAAAAATTGTTTTCAGAGCCAGTTTATGAATGACGATTGGTCCTTTTACTTCGTAAGTCATACTGTGTTTCACCAAACACTTCAGGGTAAAACGCCAAACCGAGCACAGAAACTTAACCTAGTTCAGGCTCACAAGACAAGGCCTCAGAAGTTTAGATGACTTAGTGACATCGACTAAGTAGATCGCCTCTCAAGAACATGGATTGTGTTTTAATGCTCACAAACATGAAAGTTCTGGAGTATGAAAGAGGTAACTTCTTGTAATTTACTACCACTCATACCTCCAAACATGCTACTGTAGGTGGGTTGCTGCTACACTGCGTCCATTCTTCCAGTTACTCGTTATCTTCACTCTGCCCATCCTCCAGCCCACATGGCATTTGCACTCATCGTCTCCCACTGTTTGGGCACACACTGTCTCCTTTATGAGTATGAGCACTCTAAAGACTCTGTCTTAAAAAAGTATTAATTTAAACAGCTAAAAAGAAAATCTTTAGAGGCAAAAGAAATAAAAGAACAGGGACAGCAATATCCTGAATTTCGGGATAGTAGCTTATTCAAAAGACCATTTAAATGTCACATGGCAGGAGAGAATACTGTGTTTCTCTCTTTAATACTTCCTCCCAGTAGGCAACAAAGAGAATCCCACTCAGGACTATAACCCCTTTCCCCCATGTGTTCTAATAGTACTAGCCTGCCGAATAAAAAGAGACTGGGTGCTGTCAGGCAACTCCTTGGATCTTTCTTTCTATAGCACAGAGGCCAATGGAGGACTAACGGTAACTAGGATCGGAAGGGCACACCAATGGTTCTGTGTCGAGTGATGTATGAGACGTGCTCATGAATCAGTTATTCTGGAGCCATACAAACAAATCAATTTCTTTACTGGAGAGGCTCACCTCTCATCTGTATATTATTCAAATATACTAACACGTGAAAGATCACATCACCTTGTTTATGGATACATTTAATATCCCTTACCCTTCCCACCTTTCAAAACATAATAGTATACAAAATATAAAATATCTTAAATATTTATAAAAATCGCAAGAAAAAAATAGAACGTATGAAAATATTTTTTATCTGAGTTCTCCCTCATTGTTGAGAGGCACTTAGTTTGCCTTGAGTTCGTAACTGTTGAGTGGGTAGGAGTACGCCCTGCCTAATACTATTCTGTCCCGGAGGAGCTTAAATAAAACATAGTAGTTGCAGAAGAGGATGAGAGCCATGGAAAGTGTGTGGTTCCACTTCTCGGACCTCAGCAAGGAATAGAGCTGGTAGAAGACAACGCTGCCCTCAATGAGGATTAGCAGGTTTAACAGCCTTAATGGACGATGAAATAGGAACTGTAAGGAAGTTAAAAAGCAAAGCGTTATTTCATAGAAAAGTAAAGACTGTAGTCATTCTCATATTTTTTTCTAAAATAATTTCATATTTACAGGTTCCTATATGCAATAACAAATAGACCTGCTTATTTAATATCAATCAAGCTAGTTCTTGCTGTAGAGACCCAAACCCTTTCCTTTTTTGATCAAGAAGGAAATAAATTTTATTTCAATGCCCCAGAAATATGAAAAGGGATTACATCCCAAAGAACTCTGCTTCTAAAGGTTTTTCTTAGGTTATATCTTAGGTATATATTTGAGTAACCAAAAGTAAACTTAAATTTAAGTCAGGCTGGATAAAGATCAAATGGGGACTACATTAGCCTTTGCAAATCAAGAGGCAAAAAGTGAGGATATTATTTTGCGGGTACTTAAGATATAACCATTTAAAACTCATTGTTAGTTTGTAGGCTTGTCTAAGACAAACACCTATACTAGACAAGTCTAGGGGAAGGGAAGGTAGTACAAACTGAAATAGCAATACAATAGTTTCTTAATTTTTCTTTAAACTGTTTACCCACCATGGTCACTAACTCAAATCCTCTACACCATATATTTCTGGTGTTTTCTTTCTTTTTTTTTCCTGGATATTGAGAAGTAGGTGTACAGAGACAGGATGGGGGCGGGGGGTAGGGGGAGAGGAAAAATCAGTCAGAATTAGAGTTTGGTTAAAACCCGGGCTCAAAAAAAAACCAGGGCTCACTGTTTTCATTCTAACCAAATTCTTCACTCTAAGAGGCTAAATCCTGGTTTACTAATAAAAATGTATCATGAATAAAAACATAGAGGTCATAGGTTACAAACTGCAATAATGGTAGTATAACACATCTAAAATAACTAATTTAGACCTGAAGGCTCAAATCTGAGAATAAAGCCAAATTATCATGATAGCTCTGAAAGGTAGCCAGGTTCTCAGTGTCCTTCCTCAGGAGGAAGAAAATATTTAACCTGGGTTTTATTACATGATATCCAGTAACATCAAAAAAATCAGAATTAATATTCTGAAAGGACTCAGGCAATTTCAGATTCTGTGGCAATTATAAGAATTATAATTAAATGTGCTAGTAAGCTATAAACTGAATAACTAGAAAGGTAAGGACGGGCTGTAAGTCCTAATAGCTATAGGTCACAGGCAACTTTTAAATGAGTGTTCTCAAACTTCAATGTGCCTAAGAATCATTTTCAAACATGCAAATCCTGAAAATCCCTAGGATACTTCAGAGATTCTGACTCAGAAGTCTGGGGCAGGGGTCCTGAATCACTGTTTTAATAGAGAGTGAACCAGGTGACTTATACGCAAGCAGCCCAGGGACCACTTTGAGAAGCACTGATTTACCTGTTTGGTCATACACAATCAGTAATAAGTTAACTTCCCTAATCCTTCTTTGCATTCCACCCGATTCTTCAGCTGACCAGTGCTAGCAAGGAAAACACTTATTTTTCAAGCAGAAAATTCTGGTATCTGATTATTGTAGGTTTAAGGGGGCAAAAAGGGCCAACAGAAGTAATTAATGGCCTCTGGAATTCAGCTGGCTGAATGAAATATTCTGTATAGAAACCAAATGCTTACATAGTTGTAACTTAAGCCCACTTCTTCATCTTAAGGCAATCTCACAGAAGTCTAGAAGGAGATGCTTATAGTTTCCTCATTCCATGCTCTTCCCAACCCTCACCCAGCTCTACCTCCATGGTATTTATAAGCATCCTGCCCTGATGCACGTTCCCAGGATTTAATTGAAAGGCCCTTAGTAGCAAATACCTGCAGAATCAGAAAGTCTATACGATGGAGGAATGGATGGGAGAAAGGGAGAAAGGGATTCAGTTAACTCAAAAAAAGAGCTCCAAATCTTTTTTAGAATATGATCTCCATTCAAAGGCACGGCCCTGCACTATGGGCGTTTTTACTAAGAATGATCCCTGCATGCACCTCCTTTTTCCCATTCCCACTGATCAGCTGGTCTTTCTCTTAGAAGTAAATACTTCTGCCCCCTAGAGCCAGAATTTCTGGAAAACTGAAAGATCAAATAGAACATAATCCCAGGTATAATCTCAAATGGGACAGAAGCTGGGTTAATAGGTATCAATTGCTTTTTCCTTTTAAACTTTTAAGGCTTTTTCCTTTTAATTCAGAAAAAGGCAAAAGTTAGCCTGCAGGTTATGGCATTTGTCTGACTTTCAAAGAAGTCAAGGGATTTTAAGGAGATGATTCATGACAAAACCAAAAAAACCATCCCATCATATTACTGTATTAAATATGGCCTAAGGATACACAAATACGATATAAGAATACTATTAAACCAAACTATTACAAAAAAATTGCAAGATGAAAAGGGAAAGTCTTAAATAATTGTGTACTTGTTTCAAGTAATTCTAGACTCAACAAATTCCAATGTAGTTAGAGAAACCGACTAAGCTGATGAAGTTGGGATAATGGTATTTGACCTTCAAGCTGCCTTTCAGAAGACATTTCCAAAGGACAAGGGCCACTCTTAGAGTAGAAGCAATAATTACCATGTACTAATTTCCTAGTATGCGTTACACACTGCTAGGTGCTTATACATAGAGTAGCCTCCTAACACCCCTAAGCTTATGTTTGAAAAGAAATAAGCGGTACTTGCATAAAAGCGGGCATGGGATACATCCGAAGGCACCGCGACGTTGTAAGGCCCCATGGCTCTATATAAGCATCTGCTGTGTCGCACCAGTACCCCTTGAGGCCATATTGTATTTTCTGACCAACTAAGGAAGAAAGAAATGCAATGTTAGCATATTGGTAATTCCAGATAAGATAATGTCTGGCAAGGCCTGCTGTATTTCTACCGAAGGGGTTAAATATTCAAGGCTTCATGTGCCTGAATTCTGAAAATACTTATTCCATGGTCAAACTGGAAGGAGTTAAAAAGGATTTGTTATTATAACTTCATTGATATACAGTAGAGAAAGGTTGCAAAGTGATACAGTTAACTCAGTGGCAAAGGACTTAAGAGGCTTAGGAGAACGAGCAAAAATAAATGTATAAGTAAGGCATCTATGAGCCAGAAAATCAAGTGTAAGCAGGTGGGCTGTCATCTCAATCCCAAGTGAGCACAGTCTACTGGTGCAAATGCTAGAGGGAACAAACAAAAAGAGAAAGTGGATTGGCTAAAAGAGGAGTGGAGATAATAACAGGTTACTGTAAAATCACATCCCAAAAAGCTATATAGAAAATCAAGTTTATTACATACTTCAAATGCTTCATGTATGTAAGAAGCTACACAGAAGAACACAGAGACACACAAGGTACTGACACAGACTTTGCTTTTTACCGATTTCTTGGTTTAATTTTTATTGAGGTTTTTCTAGGAAAAAGAAGTTACGGAAGAAGCTTCCTTCTTTCCAGTACCAATGTAATGGAATTGGAATGGGGGTGGGAATTTTTCAGGTTAATCTTTTTTAAAAATCTAAGTTAATTCATCTCTTCCTGATTTTGGGAAAGTTAGTTTCCTAAGGGAAGAACTGGGACAGCATTTTAGATATGTTAAAAAAAAAACAAAACTCTAGCACCCTGAAGCTTTCCCAGTTCATAAAATGTTCCATCGGCCCTGCTCACACTTACCAGCATTAAAGTGATGATACACCTCATGGCCATGTGCCATCAGGAGCCTGAAGATGTACAGTACTAGGACTGTGGATTGTATTTTCAATTTTTAGTGAAATCTGTCCTTTGCCCACAGTCGGGTTTCTTTTCAGCCTGGCCCAATCTCTTTCAGTTCCTGGGCTTGAAGGCCTGTGCTAATCTGTATCAGACATCAAGGCAGATAATTGAAGGGAGGACTCTGAGGGGGAGAGGGGAAGGGAAGGTCACCTCAATCTGTCCCACTTAATTAGGAGAGAACTTCTACATGATGAAATTTGTGAAATGTTCAAATAATAAAAGGGAGGAGGATGAACAGGTCCAAATCTGAGAGAAAGATATGATGAAGGGTTCAGCAGTGAGAAAACAAAAGGATTCTAAAGTTAGCCATGTTGGATCACAGGGACCATGCAGAGAAATGACTGTAAGGAGACAGACACAATGAGAGGAACACTCAGAGAGAAATCGATTAGGGACAGTTTTTAAATAAGGAAAAAGCAAGAAAATATTCATTTAGGAGGAAAAGAAAAAAATAATTAAAAATGCAGGCAAGGGAAATTACTAGAACAAATGAACATTAGAAATAAAAGACGAGACAAGCAAATTCCAGCTGCCTAAGTGTGAGATGATTAGCTAGCAACTATTTAGCTATGGCAATGAAGATGAGAAGATGAATTTTACAGTCTTCTAAAGAGAATTAAAAATACATCATGATTCTTTGAATTTGGGCAAACGGGTAAGACTGAAAGGAAACTCCAAGATTATGGCTTGGGAAACAAAGCAGACGCTCTAGAGTGACTGGGCAGTTGACAGGTAGGAGGCATTTAAGGAGAAACTGGGGATGGTGGTGGAAATGAGTTAATGTCCCCTGTGCTCAGTTTAGAGTGATAAGAATCCATGTAGACAAAAAAACTAAAAATTAAATGTTCAAAGCCAAGAACAAGAATGGCATACAAAGCAAATAAACATGACCAGCAGCATGGAGAAAGGCGTTCTATGGTTTGACCCTCCAGCCTACTCACATGTGCTGGGGAGCATTGCTGTAGGACCCATGTTCAAGCTTCTGCCACTTGCCCAGATGAGCGGCTGATTTATGGAGCAAATCACAGTATTTGGATGGAAGCAGTTGTGTGGTGAGCATGACAAAAGCATTGATCCACACCATAATGAGGTGCTCGCACGACCAGCGCATGTCGTAGTACTGGGTACTCTGGAAGAGATCAGAACAGAGAGAAATGATCCATGCGCTGGCAGGAAGGGAGAGACGGGTGTGTGTACATGTGCCCTGCAGACAAATGCCACACTGAGTCACACATGCACTGGTTGTCCTGCTGTCCGTGCAGAAAGTTCAAGAGCAGAGTCCTCCAACCTGACTTTCTGGCTGTATGCGTTAGGGCTGGGAGGGAGAGGCAGTTATATTTTAAGTGCTTCCTTTCTAGAAGAAGTGAGTGCTCTCTGTGAATGGCCACTCCGGCTGCAGATGTACTTCTCAGTGGGTGAAGGGCACTAAAATGTCCCAAAAGATTTTGGGCCCAAGTGACATCCAGGCCATTTGGCTTTTCTACTGAAGTAAACTGAAGTTTAGATAAAGGTTAGATTAAAATCAAGGAAACTCCTAATAACCATGTTAAGATCAATCACAGAAGGCTAAATTTTAAAAAACCTCGGTCCTCTGAAAATTACTACACACTGATTCTATTGTAAGTACAAGTTTTAGTCTCCCTGGAAACTAGAAAAAGAAAACTTAAAAAAAAAAAAAGGAAAAGAAAAAAAGAGGGGGCCACCACGGGTGCATCACATGTATGGAAATACCTATCCGCCAACCAGGAGCGGTATTAGTGCACTCCGGATGCAGCCGAACTCCACCATCCAGGCTGCCAAAGGGGAGACAGAGAAAAGGGGGATTAAATAAGAAATGCCCAGTTTATGCCATTCACACACAAATCCAGGAAGCACACGGAAGCAAATAAGTACTTACCTTCACAAAACACAGGGGGAGGAAGGCAACATAGTAGGCGCTGAAGAGGGAGTTGAAGAGAACTTCCTTGATTCTGTGGTTAAAATCTGCTTTCAGACATTCTACTTCATTGCGGATGAGGTCTGGAGACAGGGGGCAGCTGTGGGTGGGGATGGGCGTGGCATTATTGAACTGTTCTTTCAGAGACTCCAGCAACAAGGACAGGAAGTCTTTGGATTTGGCCAAGCCACCCACAGCTGAAGCACTTTCCTCCACGGCCTGGTGCTGAACCACGTAGTTATAGTCTGTGAGAAGAAGATGAGCTCTGCTGTCTTGGTGGAAACAGCAGAGAGGAACATACACACCAAACCTGTAGAAAAGGTCAACGTGAGAATGAGACCACCAATGCCACCTAACATCCGGTCTTACAGCAATGTGAGTATAACAGTCATGATTCACCAGAGTGAACAGAAACATAATGGGGACTTTGCTGATGGTAAGTTCACTATTTGGGAAGCTCTTTAACTAATTTCTTCCCACAAAGGCAATACGCATTCATTGTAGAATAAAAGGAAACTACAGAAAATCACAATGACAAGATATAAATCACCTAGAAATAATTATTTTTATAATTGGATACAGACTTTATACTTTTTTCTTTTATATGTTTAGCCTCATACAGTATAAACTGTTTTGTTTTTTGGGTTTTTTTTTTTAGCTGAGCCATCCTGCCACCTGTTGGCAGCTCAGCAGCAGCTCAGCTCGGCTGTGAATCGAACCGGCAGCCCTGGTGCTCAGAGCTTGCACTCTTGAGTGAACTCTAAACCAACTGAGCCACTCGGCCGGCCGGCTAAACTGTTTTGTATCCTGCTGTTTTAACTGGGTGTGTTGAGCATTTTCTATTGTCATTAAAGATTTTTCTGTAACAATTTTTAAAGATATTATAGTATTTTCATATAGATGTACCATAATTTTACACATTTCTCTCTTTTTAGAAACTTAAGATGTTTCTTATTTTCTACTACCATAAATATCAATGGGATAAGCACTTTCCTACACAAATCTTTGTGTACATCTGGCAATTTTCAAATGGCTTGCCCTTCACGTCCAGTTTTCCCTTCTTAGTGAGGGGCTCCTCTGCCTCTCTACTATGTCACCCACCTGACTCCAACTGGCACTCCTACTTCCCCTAGTTTCTCCACAGACCTTACCACCCTGTATACTTTACTTGTTTATTAGGTTTTTATGTGGGATTTTTTTCCCCTTGGTCTGTCCTCCCGTCACTACAAAGTAAACTCTATGAACCAGAGATTTCAGTCTGCTTAATTCACTGCTGTATCCTTGATGCCAAGTAGAATTACTTGGTTAAAAGGAGTGAATATTTTTGGACTTCCTATCTTCTTGTAGTTACTCCAATCTTTGGTTTCTAAAAATGTTTTTTAAATACTTCCCTAAGTCCTCCTTAAGTAACTTCCATCTTGTGACCGAGGTATTGTAAATAAAATGGTTCTTTCACTGACACAAATTCAGATATGAATAATAGCAAATGAAGATATCTTATTTAGTTATACATCTTATTTAAAAAATTAACAAATGTCACTTGTTCATATTTTCTATAGAGGGAGAAAGGACGAGATTAGTAAGAAAATGGTTAGCAGAAGCTCCAGGATTCGCCGTGAAGTGCCCTGGGGAAGTAGGGTGGGAGGGGGTAAATATAGAAGTACCAGAAAGAAGAATTCATACATGTACTAAGGCCAGAGAAGGCTGTAAGTTCAACACTGCTAAGACACAAACTGCACATGGAGGGGTAGGTGTAGGAGGCTGGGGTGTGTGGTAGATTGCAATGATGGTCCCATTTCTTTACCCTTCCTCGTAGTCTCACCTGTTGCCACGTAACTGCACAGCCCTCATTCTGTGGGTGAGGTGACCCTGCCCTATCCCCATAACTCGGCTCAACAGTGTGACTTATTTTGGCCAATGGGATAGCAACAGACATATGGCAATCGGACGCTTGAAATGGGCTTGCACACTGAGCTTGCTCTCTTGTACTACCAATTTCATGTGACCACGTCCAGGCTAGTCGGCCAGAACGTGCAAGACGTGTGGGGCAGAGGTGAGTTGTCCTAGTTATTTAAACTGACAGCCAGTCAGTCCTACATGTGGCTAAACCCAGCTAAGACCAGGAGAACCTCCTGACTTCCAGCTGACCCCAACACATGCATAATAAATACTGTAGTATGCTACCATGGTTTCGTGGTTGTTCGTTACAGCATTATGTGGCAGTAGATAACTGATATAGGGTAGAATGAGAGAAACTGGAAAGGCAGAATCAAAGGCTTAGACCATGCAGTGCTCTGTAAAGTAAAGGAAATAATTCATTAAAGAATTTTAAAGAGGGTTAGTAAAATGATTCAGCTTCCACTTTGAAAATCATTCTAGCTACAATGAAAAATGGAATGGAGGAAGGCAAGAATGGATTACCGGAAGACCAGATGGAGGTTTAGAATGTAATAGCTGAGATTATGGGAAGCAGTGAACAGATTCAAGATAAATGTACGAGCTAAAATGTTAAATCTTTGGACTAACTTATCCTAAATTGAGAAACTATTTTAGATCAAATTTAAAAAAATAAATAAAGACAGAAACAGGAGAGTTCCTTTCTTTTTTAAACCTATGAATAAACAAGAAAATAAAGAGGTAGTTATTGCTATTATCTAGTATTTTAAGTTCTTCATACTTAATTTTTAAATTGAAGTTAGATAAAAGTTAGATTATACAACTTTTAAAAAGTAAAGAAGATAAATATATTCCAACCTAAAATTTGTTTACATTACATGCTTATTTCATTGTTTTACAGGGGTGTGGAAAGCCTCCAAGAATAAGTAAGCTTCTTTATATACCTAAATTGAAATGAAAGTTTGCTAGCCCTTTTGATGATGGTAATCCTCTTAAACCTGACCAAAATATTCCTTGACATATCCATAATTAGCCTTTCAAATCAGATTTGGTTAACCTTCCAATTGATTCAACCAGCTATTATTGGTAAATAGAATAATAATCACTTGTTTTCAACTCAAGGAGCTGAAATATTAATCAAGAAATACTGAAACAATTGATGCAAAATATAATATATGCCTTATAAGAAATCTGAATTGTGAAAAATGATGTTTATAACATAGAAAATTCAGTTTGTAGGAGAAAAGTAATATTGATGAATTGAGCTGATGACTACCTTAAATAATTGTTTAAACAGTATAATTAGACCTACCCATAGTCCGATCAGTACAAAGCCTCTTCCTGCCATCCTAGCCGGCACAGTCTGATTATGCTTTGATTTTACACTATGTGACTACCCATATAAATTCATGCTTATACTTCAGCACCATAAATGGTACAAAGCAATGATCTCAAACTTGAACAAGCATCAGACTCATCTGGAGGCCTTGTTAAAAGACAAACTGCTTGGCCCCACTTTCTAGAGTTTCTGTTTCAACAGGTTTGGGGTAGATTCTGAGAACTATTTCTAACAAATATCCAGGACATGCTGACGTTGCTGTTCTGGAAACCACACTTTGAGGACTACTGATTAGAGTATATAATAGTTCACACAAGGGCTCTGGAATCAAAAAGACCAGAGACTTTCTCACTAACTGTCTGACCATGGGAAAGTTTTAAAAACTCTTAATCTGCCTTTACCTGGGGCAAAGGCTGCTAATCGTCTGCCAATAGTCACTGCTCTTTCGTTCTTCCACAGTAACAAACATTTTACTTGAGATACAGCTGCCCTACTAAAGACTTAATTTTCCAGCCTCCTTTACAATCTATCCTGCTAAGGAGCAAAAAGACAGCAGGAACCTGGGTCCAGATACCATGGAGCTGCCACAGCTACTCAAGATGACTTACACACATACTATACAAGAGAGAGAGAGGGATAAACTTCTAACCTTTTTAGCCACTAATATCTTGGATCTGTTATAGCAGACTAAACACACTACTTCCTGGGTTCTCATGATTATTTCATTAGGTGATGTTTATAAGCACCTAGCCCAGCACTTGGCACATAAAAAAAGCTCAATAAATGTTTGTTGTCTATTAACATCCAATGAAGAAAGTATTAGCCAGGGATGAGCGGTTAGCTCAGTTGGTTAGAGCATGGTGCTGATAACACCAAGGTTGCCAGTTCAATCCCCACACAGACCACTGTGAGCTGCGCCCTCCTCAAAAGAGTCAACTATGCCATTGTAGCATGAAAGCAATGTGTAACCAATGACCATGGCTGTTCCCTAATAAAAAATTTTTAAAAACCCCACATGTATTAGCCAAATGTTTACAAGTTAAACTATGCAAAAGTTAAACTATGTAAAAGTAGTTAGTTAAATAAGCCAATATATAAATAAGATACCACTATACACTCATCAGAAAGGCGAAAATTTTAAAAATGGAAAACATCAGATGCTGACAAAAATGTGGAGCAATCAGAACTCTTACAGAATTGGTGGGAGAATAAACATATACAACTTCTTGGGAAAAGGTCTGGTAGATTCTTATAAAACTAAACATATTCCTACCTTATGGCCTAGCAAAGCCACTCCTAGATATTTCTACCAAGAAAATGAAAACATCTTTACAAAAAAGACTCATCTAAGAATGTGCATTATGGTTTTATTTTTAATAATAGGCCAAACTGAAAACCACCCATGTATCCAAAAATAAGAAAATAAACAAACTGTGGTATGTTCACAGAATAAAATATTATTGACATATGCAACCAATATGGATGAATCTCAAAAACAGTATGCTGAGTGAAAGATACCTTACACAAAAGTGTACATACCATATAATTCCATTTATATGAAATTCTAGAACAGGCAAACTAATCTACGGTGGAAAAAAAAAATCAAAACAGTGGCTGCCTTTGGGTGGCAAGGGGTGGGATTTGATTAAAGGGGGCACAAAGGAACCTTTGGAGTAATGGCAATGTTCTATTGTATATTGGGATAACAGTTTAAGTTACACAGGTATATGCATTTATCAAAGCTTGTAGATGTACACAAGATTTGTGAATTTTATTGTATATGAAGTCTACTTCAAAAGTAAAAAACTGTAAACAAATGTCAAATTCAAGTTATTGATATGTATATGCTGACATATTTTGGGGGAAGTAAACGTCACAAAGTCTGCAATTCAACTTTGAAATGCACCAAAAATAAGATGGATTGATGGATGGAGTGATAGATGAACAAATGTATGTTATATAATTATAGTAAAATACTAATGGGTAGACTGTAGGTGAGGACTGCACCGGTGTTTGCTAAAAAACTTTCAAAAGTTCCCATAACAGAATGCTGGGCAAAAAAATTATGTTTTATAGGGCTTCAATACAGCATACATGAACTCAAAGATCAAAGGAATTTGACCAAAAGGGTAAGACTGGTTGAGTCAGTTCATTCAACTAATATTAACCACCCATTTGTGCCAATATAGCCAGTACAAGGGGCCTTTATTTTGTGAACAGAGCTAATTAAAATATATTTTCCATTGGTAAGAAGAGAGCTATACTGCTCAGATTTCCCAGGACAGTCTGGATTTATGCTATTGTCCCAATTGTATCCCAATTTAGAAAATAAATTATAGGGTCACCCTACCCACTGATTTTTTCCCAATTTTCTGAACTCTTGGTTCATATTTGAAGAATTTCATTTTCCTCTCTTCTACATTATCATTTGCATGACCCAAATAATTTCTTAAAAGACTTACAAGAAAATAGTAAAACTGGAGTACTCACGGGTAGCCAAGGAAAAGGAGATTGAGGACTGAATGGCTTCGAAAGAGATTGACCAGCGTCCAACAAAGTACCCATCCACACAAAGTGAGTAGCACCAAGCGAGCTGATATCAGAACCATGTAGTGAATCATAGATGCAGCACCCGCTTTAGTGGCCTGCAAGTTTGGAAGCACCAAAAGGAACATTTTATAAATGACCTTATTCAAAGCAATGTGACTCAAGTAAGGACGGAAAACTGCCCCACCCCACCCTATCTTCCTCATTCTTAAAGATTCAGACATCTCCAGTTAGTTGTTTCTTCCTTGTATTCCCATAGTGCCTCATATAGACCTCCTTTAAGACCTTGTGATATTATCCAATTTTTATTTTTATATTAAGGCTTCTCAAAGTATAATACATGAACCACATTCATCAAGATCACTCGGGCTGCTTACTGAACATGTAAATTCCTACTGTCTTCCTTCTCCAGATACGGGGAACAAAATCACAAGTCAGCCTATATTTTAACAACCCACCAAATGATTTCTATGTACATAAAGATAGCTAGCCACTAATTTATCTGACTCCAGGCTAAGTTATAATGGCCTCAAGAGTAACAACAGTTTCTATTTTTCTTTGAATCCTTCCCCCAATCCGTTTGCTGAATTAACGTTTAGCAACTTACTGAAGCTTCAAAAAATAATCAGATCTTCTTGGACAAATCCCTATATAAATAAAAGTTTCCTTTTTGACTTCTGCAAATATGGAAATAACATATAATCACTTCCAATTCTTTATATCACAGCTGTTCAAATATTCTTCTTTAATTCCAAATCTTTAAAACTGATTAAATATAGTAAGAAAACACACTTGTCTGAACATGAAGCTCTGCAATGTCATTTTCTTTCAAAATGGATTAGGAAGGAGAATGAGCAAAATGCAGGAGAAAATGATAGGCTCCTATCATCTCTAAAACAGCAGTATCAGAACCCAGAAAGGGGAAAAAACTTTTTCTGGAGTCAATACCACATGGGGGCGGATAAGGAGCTTTTCAGGTCCCTCCTGTGTATCCATTTCTTAGTTTACTCAACATACTACATAGCATATGATATGTAATATATATATGCAATATATACTATTTATACAGTTACTTATGAATGCAGACAAACAGTTAACACCATTATGAACTGCTTGCACCTCAAACTATAAAAAAAGCTCAAGCTGTTCTCAGCTAGAGCAGGGCAAACAGCTGCATATCATCCCCTGAAATATACCTCTTGCCAACGCACCTCATGTTTCAAACCTTAGGGAAGGTATTGAAGCCACTGGAATTAGTCCATTGCCTCCATTGTCAAAAGTTTTGAGTTAGAAATAAAAAGAGTGCTTCTGCCCAATATCACCAGAGCAGTTTGGATGTACTTATCAGTTTTGCTTTCTTCCAGAGTCCAAGCTCTTAACCACTGTGCTACGTGTGACATATACTACACTATGTCCTGGAACACAGTAGTAACCAAGATTAACAGGACCTCTGTCTTTATGAGGCTGCCCAACCAAAAAGGGCACATATTAAACTTAGACATTTACACAAATAATTATTTTTACAACTGATGATGTGCTACAAAAAAAGGGTAGGCTGCTATGGAGAACAAATAATAGGACACTCTAACCTAGGGAAGGCTTCCTGAGGAAGTGATATTTCAGCTGAAATCTAAAAGATAAGCAAGAATTAGCCAGGTAAGAAGTAGAAAAATATTCCTAACACTATGTTGAGTGTTATAAAACTACATACAGATAATGTTCCCCCCAAATATATGTATTTTCTACATGCATATGAAGATTAAAAGGAAATTTCCCAAAATGTGGTTCCCTCAATAATAGGGTTATAATAAATGTTTTTAAATGTTCTGCCTTACATTTTACTGTTTTCCAAGTTTTCTTCAATAAAATGTACTACTTTTCTATTTAGAAAAACAATTTTTTAAAGAGAGTTGCCTCAGGTTGGTAAAACAATAGTTGAGTAACTTTTTGATCTTGCGGAGCAAATAGTGAAGTAGAGTTGGCCTGGAGGTGAATAAACACTCTGTCTAGTCGGAGAGGTATTCCTCCTGGAATAGTATTTAGCTTTCTGAATTAATTACCTCCAGCCTCTCCTTAAAAATGATTGGTCTTTCTCAGAGTAGGGATCCTTTCTGTGATATAAGCAAAAAAAAAAAAAAAAGGCAAACATTTTAATAGAAGGAAAGATGATTTATGATGGGTACTATCCATCAAATTTAAATATTTTAGAAAGAGAATCACTATACAGCTCTTATTTTAAATTTTTGAATGGGTAATAGATTTACATTGCTTAAAATACAAAACATATAACAGTGTTTGTAGTGAAGTTTCCCTCCTACTGGTCCTACCTCCTAGCCACCAACTAGGCAGCCCATTAGTTTGTATGTCCTTCTAGAGATAACTTATTCATATACAAGCAAATATATTTTGTTCCTTCCACCTGCCTTAAACACTGTCCTGTACTTGGCTTTTTTCACCTAATATCTCAGAGGTCAGTATGTGAAGACATTTTCATCTTTTTAACGGCTGCATGCTATTCCATTATGTTCATATACCATAATTATTTAAACATTCCCTTTCTGATGGACATTAAGGTACAGATTCAAGTCTTTGACTAGAAATCTGTGTAAAATTAGCCTAAGTATTTTGTTCTCTATAACAATTACAGGTTTCTTCAGAAAACAGCTAATATACTTTCCAACTAAGCCTATGTAAAAGCTGTTGAACTACTGTGACACCATTAGTAAAACAGCAGAGGTACTTCACGTTAGAGTTCTTGTAGCTCCAATGTAGAAACCCCAATTATGAAGGGTTTACACACTAACCGGACATACTATTTTCACATACACAGTACCACTTCTAAGTAACTGAAGAGATGAAACAAAATCACTCCCTGCCTGTTTTAACAGATGTAAACATAAAACTCCACTAAGTTCCTCTAAAGAAAGAGCACAGTTTCTCAATACATCCAAAAGTAAGCATCTACTTTCATGACCTAAATAAAGAACCTGGGAGAAAAGGTTATAGACAGCCTTTCCCACTGTGAAAAACAGATGATCCTACTACCAATGTTTTTCAATTAACTTCAAATGACTTTCATATTATGACTTAATACCTGCAATTACTATGTGTTTATAGAAAGAAGGTTCCTGAAAATTAGAGCTTACAGACACAAAGACTTTTCATGTATGTTTTAGAAGAAAAAAGTTGACCCTCAGTTATCTGTGATTATAGTAACTATTCATTTAAAATTTCACAATGAAGAGAACTGAGTCTGGGTGGTGAACACACAATGTCATATACAAATGATGTATTACAGAATTGTACACCTTAAATCTATGTAACTTTGCCAACAATTGTCACTCCAATAAACTTTAATTTTAAAAAAATTTCACAATGAATTATAAACTCCAAGATGAAACTTATTATCCACTTTAGTTACAGTTTTTATTTATTTTAGTAATCATTTATAGAGTACAAGCTAACAAAATCTTAAGAAAACACATTTACCTCCCTCCATCCCTGGAGTTTATAAATATATAAAAAATTATACCATCGGCCAATTCTATTAACAACTTCATTTAAAAAAAATCATATTAATAATGTTTCAATTCTTTCCTCTACTGACCACTAAACTTATATTTTAATCTTTAGGATTAGTTCTATGCCAATTTGGATGCTGTCATTTTAAAATTCCAAGTTTTAATTAACTGAAACAAATGTCTCTTGCCAGCAACTCCACAAATGGAATATAAATAATTTCAAGTGAATATTATTTGAAACGTTTTATATGCAACCATTTATTTACATAACACTTCATATCAAGTTACCTAAAATTCATCCTATTTTTACTGTATTAAAATTAGAAAGATTGTACTTAAGAACTTGGAACCAAGAAATAACCTCTTGCCAGACAAATGAGATTTCTAACAATTCTCTTGTGTTATATCACACTTGAATTTTAAATATACTGTAGGAGAGCCTTTTAAAAACAACTAGCACAATTCATGTGAGAAAAGGAAATTAATTTTTATAATTGTATTCAAATTATATTTGGACATTTCATGTTTTCAACCTGAACCCATTCTAGTATCTAACTCTAGCTACAAGTGATAGAATACAGTGAATTAGCTGTTACCTCTGAGATGAGAGCCCATACAAGCCTCCTTGCAAGCATCACTGTGATGAATGCTGCCAGGTGGTAATCAATGAGATGAAAATTCTATAAGAGAAACAAATAACTTCATCAGAAAGAAATACATGTATTCAGTTGTAACTATTACAACTGAAGAGGTCTGCCCCCTCGAAAGATATTCCTTACATCACCTTACACTTACAGACCACAGGAATTTGAGATCTTGAAGAAACCACCTATCTTCTATTCCTCATTTCATGACAAGTTGCTTTAACTTTTCAAACACTATTTTAAACTACCTGGAATGTATTCCTCTCCTTTTAGTAAAGTTTACTGTATTAAAGGAAAAGATGACAGCTTTGGGTTAACAAGTGATAACCTGCAGAATTAGGGCAAGAAAAATTGACCTAAAATGCCATATTTATGAGTGTCAAATTTAATGGATCAATTAGAATTGCCAGTCTTTAGGAGTTACTGTTGTTGGTCTCTCTTGATGCAAGTTTATGTTAATCCAATTGGTAATCTACTAACCTAAATTCCCTACTTGCTGATACATCAATTAAATTCAGTCTTTCTTCTTACTTTGATTTAGAAACATGTCTAATATTTGATCTTTTCTTCCTATAAAATGATATCATTACCTACATGCTAAACACAGTTCCTTCAAGTTCTAAGTCTGTGTATATATTACTGTGATACCAAATGAAATGAAGTCATTAGCAACAAACAAAATCGGGATGTATTTTCATTTTGATGGTTAAAAGGTCTGTAGGTTTCCACAGTTCTCCTTCCAGAATAAAAAGTTGAATTTCTCAATTAATTCATTCAGTAAATATATACTAGGCACTCATGATGTGCCAAGTACTCTTCTTGATACTGAGGATACAGTCCTGAAGAATGATAGACAGGGTTCCTGCTATCCTGGATCTTACTTTTTACTGTGGTGTGAGAAGGCCAAGGGATAGCAGAGCTTACTAGTTCTCTTCTGCCATCATGGCAGAATTTAACTGGGCACTGACTCCTAGCTAACTATAGGTTTATTTCCCAGCCTCCCTTGTAAAAACTACTTGTAACTAAGGGAGGTGAGAGGAAGTGATGTGCACAACTTCCAAGCCATGCATGCTCTCTTAAAGGAAGGAGCTGTCTCTTTCTCCTTTCCTTCTTCCTGTCAGCCAGATTACGATGACAGGAGCTGGAGTGGCTACCTTGGACCATGGTTTAGAAGCAGCATGTTGGGGATGGCAGAACAATAGATACAAAGTGAGTTGCCACAATGGCCTTACATCACCTCCCTAATTTTTAATTCATCTAGTAGGGAAATAAGCGTCTATTCTCTTTTAGCCACCCTGTTACAATAGCTAAACCCGTATCTTTAACAAATGTGTTTAAGGGGGAAGGCCAATGACAATAAACAAGCTGAGAAGTAAAAGCATTTCAAATAGTTGCAACTGCTGATGAGAAGAAAAACAGTGATAAATATCAACTAGGAAAGGAGGTGCAGAGCCAATTTAAATTGGCGTTAGGGAAGATATTTCTGAGAAGATGGCATCGGGGATGAGAGCTAAGTGGCAAAAAAGCACCAGCATGATTTGGGGCACAGTGCCCAAGGCAGAGGAAAAAGAAACCGCAAAGGCCCAAAGGCAGAAAAATACGCCTGGTATGTTTGAAAATCAGTAAGAAGGCTAAAATGAGAAAATGAGCAACAAAAGATGGAGTTTATATATATTGTTCCCTAATGGGAAGTCGTAAAAGTGTTTCAGGCAAAGGGTGCCACAATGCTATTTGTACTTTAAATGCTCACAGAGGGACCGGCAGAGTAGCGTGTTGGTTAAGAGTTGGTTTGGGATGCCAGCTCTGAGCAGCAGGGCCCCGGTTCGGATCCCACATATGAGGGCCAGTGACGCTGCGCCCTCTACAGCTAAGATGGTGAACAATAGCTCGACCTGGAGCTGGGCTGTCGTGAGTCGCCGGAAACGGCATAGGCTGCAGCCCCTGCTGCAGTAGGCGGCCGTGAGCTACAGTGAGCTGCCATGAGAAGCTATGAGTGGCGGTCCAATGACCGGAGAGCGACTGCCTCACCCGGGAAGAGCTCAATGATAATACCAACATGGGCCAGTGAAGCAATGCCCTCCACAACTAGACTGAAGAACAAAAGTACAGCAACTTGTCTGTTCCCCTTCTCCGATTCCCCAATAAAATCTTAAAAAAAATAAAAATAAATAAATAAATAAAAATAAATGTTCACACTGATTTCTGTGAGCAGAATATATTATAGTGGCGCAAGATCAATTAAGAAGATATTGCTTTTGACTCAGGTGAGAAATGAACATGGACTGAACAGGGTCAGTAGCACTGGAGCTGGAGCAGCCAGATTTGGGATACATTTTAAAGGCAGAACAGCCAGAATGTCAAGAGAGTGGCTGACCACACACTCCTCAGATCAGATCATTTCCTTTTCCCCCGCTGTTTCGGATTCTAACAGTATTTACCCCCTCCTGGTTTTGAGTCCTCCTTGCTCACCCCACTCCTCCAAAATAATGCAAGCGAATCCACTAGCCTCCCTAGCTAATGTCTGAGGGTCTTCTTTATGCATCAACAGTCCATCTAAGACATTTTTCTTTGTTAAAGATTTTTATTGGGGAATTGGGGGAGGGGAACAGCATTAGGGAATCGGGGAAGGGGAACAGACAAGTTGCTGTCCTTTTGTTCTTCAGTCTAGTTGTGGAGGATGTCACCTCACTGGCCCATGTTGGTGTTATCACTGCGCTCTTCCCAGCTAAGGCAGTCGGTCACTGGCCATTGGGCGGCCACTCACGGTGGCTAACAGCAGCTCACGCCAGCTGCTGGCCACTCACAGTAACTTACAGCAACCCACTGCAGCAGGGGCTGCAGCCTACGCCGTAGCCTGCAACTCACAACAGTCCAGCTCCAGGTCGAGCTGTTGTTCACCATCTTAACTGTAGAGAGTGCAGTGTCACTGGCCCTCATGTGGGATCCGAACCGGCGGTCCTGCTGCTCAGAGCTCGCGCTCCCAAGCCAACTCTTAACCAACGAGCCACTCGGCTGGCCCCATTTAGGACATTTTTTAATATCAAAAGGTTTAAGTGCCTAAAGTATCTTATTATTAAGCAAATTTTCTTTCCAAATTTTCTAAATCATTGAAAACTGGTTATCTACTTATGAGTAACTCTTTATATACCTGAATATTTGATTCATCAGAGACCTCCACTCCTGACTATTCTGAATAATTTACTATACTACTTCCAGCTTTTATGTTTCTTAGGGTTAAGACTCATTCAGCTAACTGTTTGATAGTTAGAATGATACTGTACATATTCAGTTGTACTTTCCGATAATTATTAAGATCTTGAAATGGAAAAAGAAAAACCTAATATATAAATGTGACCGATTTCTGAGTCAGACATGCATAACAGGGCTTAAAAGAGACAGACCACCAGTTGAGGGATAAATCCCTTCTAGAGATGTCAGTCAGGTTGCCACCTGCTATGCTTAAACACCTTCAGTGATACAAAGTAACTAGGTCTTTCACAGCCAATTTACCTTTGAACAGCTCACTGATTCAGGCCCCTTTCAGATTCATGGGCTAAAATCTTATCTTATTTGCTATTCTGCATGTTTTACTCTTAGCTCCACAATTAAATTTTGAACTTTGTGTGAGCAAGGGTCATATGTGGCAGATAAGCGAGCCAGTCCACACAATAATCTCCTTTAAGTATGTCTTCCTCTACTACAGACTAGGAAGATAAAAACTACATTTCCAGACTTTCTTGAAACTAGAGTTCTAGATTTGATTTAGTTTCTGCCAGACAGGAATCACATAAAACTTGAACTGGGAACTGAGTGAAGTGGGTGAGTGGCAAGTGAAAGGCACCCGTTTATGGTGGTGCGTCAGAGCCACGGAAGCATAATTTTGTCAGCAGTGTAGCAGCCGCTTCCTGACAGCCAGGAGCACTGGCTCCCTTTGTTTCAAGGCAACATTTGTAGGGGACTTCTTTTAAACATACTCTCATAAGAAATGGCTGACTGGGAGAATTCCTTTTTGATTAGACTGAAAATTCATTGAGAAGTTTTCATAGGATGTCAAAGTGGAAATCGTATAATGGAACCACCCAACAAGTACTTATGGAGTAAATATAGAATAAATACAGGAAGTAAAGCATGTCAGATAGGTACAGTTTTGAGTGCTCACTGTGTCACTATGTGATTTTCAGCCAGTTTCATAATTTCTAGGTCTCATATTTCTCATTTATAAATTGGGAGTCATACAGTAGTACCTAACTATATTTACAAAGAGTAAATGAGATAATACTTGCAAAGAACAAGTATCTTAATGTTTGCCAATGTCACTGTTAAGGTACTGAGATATTTACAGAGCTACATAGCTGGAAGAAGCCTTCAAGATCAGCTGATCCAACCTCTTCATTTTATAACACCGTGTCCAAAGAAGGATGAAGTACAGTCCCTACACTCAATAAATTCATAACCCAGGTGGGGAAGAAAAACTATTAAAAATAAAGCCGAGTGGCGCGTTGGTTAAAAGTTGGCTTGGGATGCCAGCTCTGAGCAGTAAGGCCCCAGTTTGGATCCCACATTAGGGCCAGTGACGCTGCGCCCTCTACAGCTAAGATGATGAACAACAGCTCGACCTGGAGCGGGGCTGCCATGAGTCGCCGCCGGCGTAGGCTGCAGTGGAGCTGCAGCGTGCTCCCATAAGCTACCATGAACTGCCAAGAGCCACCGTGAGCGGCCGTCCAGTGACTGGCAACTGATCTGCCTCACCCGGGAAGAGCGCAATGATAATACCACCATGGGCCAGTGAAGCGACGTCCTCCACAGCTAGTCTGAAGAACAAAAAAGGACAGCAACTTGTCTGTTCCCCTTCCCTGATTCCCCAACGATGTTCCCCTCTTCCCCTCCCCCAATAAAATCTTTTAAAAAATAAATAAATAAGTAAAACATACAATTGGGCATTAAATCACTACAATTCTTAAAAAAAAGTGAAATTCTCTTCACCTGATATTGAGTAGGCAGATGGTCAATGTGGAAAAAAAATTCTTAATAGTTAATTCCAGGAACAACCAGGTGATACAAATATTTAAAAGAAAAATGTTTATTTCCTTTCCATATTATCTTGAAAAATTTGGTCTACATTTCCTTTCTATATTCACTAGGCCAGGGAAGTTTTCTAATCATTTATAAGTCGCAGACACATAAACTACCCAGGACAGTAATCTTCATTCTCCTAGAGCACATCTCCATTACCCATCCAAATCTGCCACTGCCAACCACTTATCTGTCAAGTCACCTGACGAGCCTTATCCGTTACTTTATACACCCACTTACAGAGAACCTTTTCTGCATCAAGATCATCGCAGCCATCCTAAAAACTGGAAAAAAGGTAGAAGAAACCTACAATATATTGCGATTTACTTCAGCAAAGACAGCTAGTTCTTGTCTCAATTTTATTTTTATAACAATCCAATTTTACTCAGGGTAACAAATAACCCAGGAAAGAGACTCTATTTTCCAGCCTCCCTTGCAGTTAAGAGTGGACATATGTAAAATATGTAAGAAACTCTCCTTTTTACTTCCCTTTGCTCTTCCCCCTTTCGGGCTGGCAGGGATGGACCACAGCCACTTGAGGGCCACACGTTAGAAGACGGCCGTCTCCATCAGCTGGGTCCCCTAACTGACCACAGGTCCTGCCAACCAGGACAACTGCCTCAAACTGTTGCTTGTCTGAAGTATTATACAATTCTGGGTTCATCTGTTATGGAAGATACCATTATCCTAATACAGCCATGAAAAGATAGTTTCTGAAATGTAATCATATTGGCACCTCAAAGTTCCAACAATTACTACCTGGTGCACAGAAATCTAAATATCAAAACCTTCCTGTGATACTATTATAATAAATTATTTAAATGTTTTCTGCATTTTCATTTACGGTTTTCTTTTTTCCAGTCATGGACCGAGGCCTGATATTTATTATTTTAATCTTATGACATTATATTTCTGAAAGTAATCCGTGGTTTAATAGAAAAACATTTTATGAGAAGAAAAATTATTAAGAAAAACAATTTCTGCAGATAAGTTTTCCAACCAGTTTCTTGGCTATGTAACATGAAGAACTTAAAGGTCTATTAAGACTTACCAAAGAAGTACAAGAAGCAGGGTGATTGTAAGGATACCACCACACTGTTTTATAGATGTTGATGTACTGAATGAACAGAGCAACCAGCAGGTAGATGAAAAAGAGAAATTCAAAGAGCAGGCTCCCATCCACAGGCAAATCAGGAATTTGGCAATGACGAACAGGACCTGGGGTAATTAAGGCTGTGATAGGTGGGACCGGAAGGCCAATAGCACTACCATTCCTGAAAGAGAAAACTAGGGTTAACTCCAGTAGTGATACTCTTCAGTGTCATTGAGCACAGGACATCTACTTCCTTCTCCACCTACCCTTTAACTGTTGGCTTTCCCCGAAACTCTATCCTAGGATCATCAGCCCTTGTCTTCTTCCTCTACACATTTTCTCAGTGATCTCCTATGTGGCCATGGCTTCCATTATCTCCTACATGCTGAAAATAAAATTTCTCTCCATAGAGATCACTGCTGAGTTCTGGGCCCGTGTTATTTTTTTTATTTTTATTTTTTTTTTAAGAGAGGAAGTCTTTTTTTTTGTTGTTAAGACTTTTTTTTTAATTGGGGAATTGGGGGATGGGAACAGCGCTGGGGAATTGGGGGAAGGGGAACAGACAAGTTGCTGTCGTTTTGTTCTTCTGGACGGCCGCTCACTGCGGCTGCTGGCTACACACAGTAGCCCATGTCAACCCACTGCAGCAGGGGCTGCAGCCTTTGCCATCACCGGTGACTCACGGCAGCCCAGCTCCAGGTTGAGCTGTTGTTCAGCATCTTAGCTGTAGAGGGCAATGTCACTGGCCCTCATATGTGGGGTCTGAACTGGGGCCCTCTGGTGTCCCAAGCCAGCTCTTAACCAATGCGCCACTGGGCCGTGGGCCCGTGTTATTAAGCTGTCTACTGGACATCTCTGTATTGTCCTCCTGCAGTTTATGTCCCACTGGGTTAGCTGCCCAAACCAGAAACCTAGGGGTCACGTTAGAGCTTTGCTTCTAACTCACCATATCAAATCACTCTCTAAATCTTACCTATTACACTTTATAAAACTTTTTTCAAACTGTACCCTCTTCTCTAAACCCCACTGCCTTAGTTCAAGCAGTATTAATACTATTTTTCATCTAAACTATTGCAGTAATCCCCCTAAATTCAACTCCACTTTCACCAAATCCTCCAATCTGCTTTCAGAGCAGAGATCTTTCTAAAGTGAAACTCTGATAGTGTTACTCTCTTGCCTAAACCCCTTTAAATAAATAAATAATAAATCTGCACTGCAAACAGAATATCCAAAAATTTTTAGTATGTCCCAAGAAGCCCTCTGCTTAACAGACTAGCTCCATCTCTTATCACTAGTCCACGTACACCCTATACAATACCCATACTATTTTCTATCTGTGAACATGCATGCTATTCTTTTGTACATATCATTCCTTTTACCGGCAATGCCCTCCAAAACCACCTTCCTTAACTCCTCACACACACATTCACTGACAAAATCCTTCAAGACTTAAAATGATCAAGCATATCCTATATGAAGCTTATTCTAACTCCATCAAAACTCTTTCATCTCTCCTCTGTGCTATCATTACACTTAAACTATGCCTTTATGCAGAGAAAAACAGAAGACAGCAAGAAAAGAGGAAGACTATATGTGAGATGGACTGATGCCATAAAAGAAGCTAAAGGCATGAGTCTACAGGAGCTGTCCTGTTGAGTATAGGACATTGTGGACATCACTCATTCATAGGCTTGCCAGGAGTTGGAGCTGACTCAATGGCATGTAACAACACATGCCTCTATTATTGCACTTTTCATACTATTATATAACTTTTCTGTATACATCTATGTCTTGTCTATCAGACCACAATCTTAAGGATAGAGACTGTACATTTCCTAGTTCACTGCAAATATATACCTTTAGGTTGAGAAGACAGCAGACCAATATAATCATAAAAAAGAGAGCTATCTCTCAAAACACAAATTAAAATACACAGATTTTAATCCCTATCTTCTTGTTGTTCTTTCTTCCAAGCTGTTGTATAGGTGAGAAATAGCTGGGCTACCTAAAATGATCAAATGGAGGTTGGGAATAAAATTTCCCATTATTTATATACCTGGGAATAGTTAGATCTAAGAGTCTACTATTGCTTACACAACAAGGAAAAGAGGCTTGGTTTAGATATTTCCAAAGGAGACTCCAGGGAGGGAACAATATTAACATTACCATTCAACTCTAAAATTTCCAAATATAGAATTCTAGCATTAGTATGTGACATTCACAGTACTTTCTGTGACTCATGAGAATATGAACTCTGCTCATTCTGCAGTTAAGAATACCATGGCAGGGCCAGCCAAGTGGCTCAGTTGGTTAAGAGCACGAGCTCTGAGCAACAGGGTCACCGGTTCAATTCCCACATGGGTCAGTGAGCTGCGCCCAAGCTGAGCTGCCGCTGAGCTGCCAACAGGTGGCAGGATGGCTCAGCTGGTGAGAACACGTGCTCCTAACAACAAGATTGCCAGTTTGATTCCCGCATGGGATGGTGGATGGTGGGCTACACCACCTGCAACTACGATTGAACACAGCACCTTGAGTTGAGCGGCCATGAGCTGCTAACAGGAGGCCGGATGGCGATTGGACTTTGGAGCTGAGCTAGCTGCGCCCTCCACAACTAAGACGGAAGGACAACAACTTGGCTGTTCCCCTTCCTCAATTCCCCAACACTGCTTCCCTTCCCCAATAAAAAAAAGCAAAAAAAAAAGCCATGGCAGAAACTTGGAGGAGCTAGAAGGGATGAACAGGGATGGGGGGAGGGAAGGGTGAGAGAAGTGTCAAAAAAATTATAATTGTGATCTACCAGGTCTCCAGCCTTACCTGCTCAATCATAAAACCAATTATTATCACACCACAGTCCTCTAATCTGTTCAGGGAGATGGGCCACAGCGCTGCACAACTCCAGGAGGTATCATTCACACAGAATACAACATGAGAGGTGCCCCCTGGAGTTGTACAATTTGGTGAACTTGAATAGAGGGGATTAATGCCAGCAGCCAATCTATTCCCTCCTCCAGTTAATCATCAGATATGAAATAAAAAATTCTGATGAGAAGTTACAAGGTTAGGAGCCCTCTATTGTAGGACAAAATAAAAATTCTAACTCCTCTACAGTCATAAATACATGAAGGGGGAAAGCATGCTAAATTATTTGTTATGATTTAAAGGTTAAAAAGGTTCTTCCAGAATTTTTTCCAAGTGAAGACTAATGTGCTTCTGCGGTTAACAAAGTCAATAAAATGCTGGGCCTCGAGAGAGATAGTCAAAACAAAGTACAAAAGATCTACCTGTGGTAGTCTATATATCTTGGCTATTATACTTCAAGAGAAAACAAAGAGCCAAAGGTCAAATAAAGTGATCCAGAGCATCAATGGGAAAGAGGCAAGTATTCCTGTAAGTTGAAAGCTTGAGATATGATCAAAGTTCTTAATACACCTCCCCCCAGAAAAAAAAAAAAAAGCTAAAATCAACAGGCTTGGTCAGTACATCTCAGAAGGTTAGTTACAGTGGTATCATTTAGAGAAAACAAAAGTACTATTGCTCTAACAGGATATAAAAATAGATTCAAGAAAAGCAAAGTGAGGGCCAGCCAAGTGGTTCAGTTGGTTAAGAGTTGGCTTAAGAGCGTGGGCTCTGAGCAAAGGGGCCACCGGTTCGATTCCCACATGGGCCAGTGACGCTGAGCCTGAGCTGAGCTGTCGCTGAGCTGCCAACAGGTAACAGGATGGCTCAGCTGGTGTAACAACAAGATTGCCGTTCGATGGTGGGCTATGCCCACCCGCAACTAAGACTGAACTCAGCACCATGAGCTGAGCTGCCGCATGGATGGCTCAATGGATAGAGCGTGCGCTTTTAACAAGGCTGCTGGTTCGACTCCCACATGGGATGGTGGCTACGTCACCCACAACTAAGACTGAACACAGCACGTTGAGCTTAGAGGCTACGAGCTGCCAGATGGCGACTGGCGGCCTCCACAACCAAGACTGAAGAACAACTTGGCTGGACCCCTCCCCCAATTCCCCAATAAAATCTTAAAAAAAAATAGCAAAGTGACACAAATGTTTGAAATACAATGTGGGATAGTTCTAGTCCCAGATTTTCCACTAACCAGCTGTGGTCTTTGAGAAAGTAACTTTATATTCCTGAGCCTCAGTTTCTTCATCTATAATACAAGGGTTGGAATAGATTCTTTTTAAAGAATTCTTCTCAATGTTAACACTGAATATTCTCTTTCAAACTGTGCTGCAGGGCCCCAAGGCCAAGCCCAGACTTGATGATTTGCTATAAGCACTCATAGGACTCAGCATACAGTCATGGTCACAGTTAAGATTTATCATAGCAAAAGAATACAAATCACAGTCAGCAGAGGAAAACTATAAGTACATGGGGCAAAGTCTGGAGAAAACCAGATGCAAACTGCTAACAGTCCTTTGTCAGTGGAGTCACATAGGACATACTTAACTCTTTCAGCAACTACTCATGACAACACATGTGAAGTACTGTCTACCAGGAAGGCTCATTAGAGTCAATGCCCAAGGTTTTTTACTGGGGGCTGGCCATGGAAGCACTCTCTGCCTAGCAGTACCGAAATTCCAGACTCCCAAAAAGAAAGCAGGTGTTCAGCATAGCTAACCTTAGAAAGGCCTGCTTGCAAGGCTGGCATCTGGGAACTTGACTGGAAATACTTCCTTTCCTGATAGAAAAGTTTCCCTAAATAATAAGAGTGGCTCACTGTGCCTAAACCATTTACGCAGACAATGTGGTTTATGCTGAACATCTGCTTTGTCCTTGCATGCAAAGTCTGTGTGCAGGAAAAACTTAGCATAGCAGGCCTAAGATTGGCTTTTATGGAGCCAGCAAGCAGAACTTAAGCAAATGGATAAAGCAAGAAAGCTTCAAAGGAATAAAGAAGAATAAGAAGGGATAAAGCAGTTATCATTTGGACATGCTCAGGTGATATTATTAACAAAGTACCTGCAAGGACAAAAACAAAGAAACACTCACTTTTAGTCCTTTTCAAAGATTCTCTCTTAACAAAAAGCTCTCTAGGAAACTCACAAATTCAAAGTATAACCTCCTCCTTTAGAAGGCAATCACTGTCCCAAGAACAAATCCCTGCTCCTCACAGGTAGAAAATGGGGCAGGGAATGATGGGTTTCAATCTTGACTGTGTTAACTAGCTCTTTGACATTCTCAAGTTTAACTTCACCCATCAGGCCATAAACACCAACCAAACAGGGTTAAGTGCTCTCTTCTCCAGCTGACCTCTCTTGCAGAATCAAATGTATCATCCAAAATTATATCACACTTAAACAATTATCTATTTCTCTCTTTACTCTAAAGACACTCCAGTAGTGAGTTCTCCTCATCTGGACACCCTTTCTTTGTACACATCCTTCCTAAAACTATATTCTAGGCTGTTTACCACTGGGTTTTATCCATATTTTTTATACCCCTACCCCAGGTCTTATATAACAACCTATTCTAGATTGCTTCTTTCCCATTGAGAAACAAATATAGAAACATCTTCTCCCAAAATAACTTTTAGGTAAAAATGTCACAAAATAAATCACTCAGTAACAGTGACTTTTCAAGCCACAAACAATATGACCTTTCATCTTTATTCTAATCTGTTGAAAAGTATGTTCTTCTCCCCACCACCCCAATTAAATAATGAAATATATGTTCAAGGAGTAGAGCAGGTGGAAAATGGTAGATTAAGACAACCAGGATTGGAACCTTGAAAGCCAGGGAAGGAGAGCTACAAAGAAGGTAGAAAAAAGAATACATGATCTAAACCCACCTACGAGCAGAGATAATTTCCAAATGTTCCTAGTTCTTCCCAGTACTCTATTTGCAGAGTTCAAGTGCAAGCAAAATCATCTATGAATGTGGTTTTCAGCTTTTTAACATCAGAACACTTCATTTTTCCTTCCCCAAAAGATGTTTTACATGGTATTCCAGTATTTAAAACACATAAGCATTAGTCTGATTAAGAGAGAACTAGGAAACCTGAAGCCTGGACTGTCAGGCCTGCCTGCCTCTTTCTTCCTTCTAAGCGCTCCTTGCAGCCCCTGGGACACTGAGGAGGGATTCTGTGGGGACACTCTGAGAACCTTATTATCTAGGGCAGGGGTTGGCAAACTTTGAGATGGAAGAGCCACAAACATTTTAAAAATTATTTGAGCCATAAAACAAATAAAATAACCATTACGTGAATAATGTCCTTTAAAAATTTTATAAATGAAACTATGTTAGTTTTATTTTCATTTTCAATTTTACTTCAGAGCCACCTGTACGTACCCAAAAAGGTGCATGTGGCTTGCGAGCCACAGTTTGCCAACCCCTGGTCTAGGGGAATCCTCAAAGCCCAAGTAGAAGAAAGTGAACAAAGAACTGCTGGAGTTAATACAGGGGCAGAGCCAGAATTGTTTAGCTAGATAGAATCCTAGCTAGGCACAGCTATGATTTTCTATTGTAATTTGAAAGTACTAAATCACTAAGTTGAATCACGTCCTTCACTGCAATATCTACAGAGGGTGCAAAAAAAACCGTATACACACTTTAAGAAAAGAAAAAACTGTATTAAAATTGTAGTACTCAATATATACCAATAACAAAAGATGAATACAAGTCACGTGTATACATTTTCTGGCACCTCCGGTATATTAGATAGTAGCTTTCTTTGAAAGCATTTTCACGTATTTTCATTCTTTTTATTTTTCAAAATATAAAATAACACATTACTTGTAGAAATTTTGGAAAATTCAGGGTAAAGTTTTAAAAAGTTAGGACCAGCCAAGTGGCTCAGTTGGTTAGGAACTCGCTCAAGAGTGCGAGCTCTGAGCACCAGCGGTTCGATACCTGGCCAGAGCTGAGCTGCTGCTGAGCTGCCAACAGGTGGCAGGATGGCTCAGCTGGTGACAGCACGTGCTCCTAACAAAAAACAGTTTTCAGTTCGACTCCTGCATGAAATGGTGGGCTACGCCTACCCACAACTAAGATTGAACATGGCACCTTTAGCTGAGTGGCCACGAGTTGCTAACAGGCGGCCAGATGGCGTCTGGACTTGGAATTGAGCTAGCTGCACCCTCTACAACTAAGATGGAAAGACAACAACTTGGCTGTTCCCCTTCCCCAATTCCCCAATAAAATCTTTAAAAATAAATAAATAAATAAAGTTATTTGAATGCTATTTCTTTTATTTTCATATCCTGCAATGAAGCAGATAATATCACCATTTTGAAAGTGAGAAAATCCAAAAACCAGAGTAAAAAAATACTCTAGAAAAATAGTACTCTGTAATCTGTATACATTCATACATAAACATAAAATTTGGGTTTGAAAATTAGTATAATGAGAATCAGAAACTGGAAAAATCTCTCCAAACTGGCATTTTAGGGAGACCCCCAATGCAATGACAAATTCAGAACTGATTTTGAAGACAGGGAATAACTTGGGTTTGAAAATCAGAAAGAAAGAGGGAAAATAGGTCAGGAAGAGAGATGTGCACAAATAATATTATGAAGGCCTAAAAAGACAGCAAGAGTATTGATTGCCAGATCTGAAAATTAGCATCAAAGCAAGAGAAAACTCTGTTCATGGAGGAAGCAGAAATTAGCTGGCAAAAATTATACTGACCAGAAGCCATCTCTTTCCACTGCTATATGATTGAATTTCCTGATGAAGTAAGTTACCCTGGATTAGAAATAATTCACCCTAACTTGTGAAAATTAGGAATAGAGATAAATTTCCATTAAAAAAATCAAATTCTTTATTCTCATACAACATGCCATAAATCTTAAGATGTTTAGGTTACAGCTGACAGTTTATTATTTCAAACAATTTTTTGAACAACAAAAAAGAATGCTATTGAGTGGTTAAATGATCACATTTTCCTTGCATTTTAATTCACTCCTCCCTTCTTCTACTAGCTAAAAAAGTGATGACTAGAATTTGGGTTATCAGCCACAAGGAAGAAATGGACTGCTTTCACTTTGTAGGCCCTATAATCACAACTTTCTACCTCCGAAGTATTCCCAAATACTGAGCTTTCAATCTTCAAGGGCAGGATTTCTACTTCAGTATCAAGAAATAATCTTCATAGGCAAATACCTGAATAGCATGATGACTTCTATGTTAGTCTTACTGATCACAGGATATAAAAAATTATGGATAATCTTATTTCTTCTTTACCTGTTTCTCAGGCCTGTTCCATTGCCACAGCCCCCACCAACCAAAGTCTGTAAAGAAGGTAAAGCTGAACGGCTTAGCTGCTGCCGACTAGGGCCCCTCCTTCCACCGGGCATGTCCGGGAACCAGTCTGCTTCCAGTGCCACCTGTAGTTGCAACCCAGGTTAATGGTGGTCAACCTGTTTCAACTCTGAACAATAACAAAAATAAATAAATAAATAAATAAATATCAGTTTACTATTTTTAAACTAGGCAATGTAACAAAACAACCAGAAAAACTGAGAGAGCAGGGCTTGTAAAACCAGATTTTCAAACAAATGCTCTCAGTGTCTATTACTTTATTCTTAATGAAAGGACTATTCAGACTCTATTGGGTCAGGTCAGAAGCCTACATTCTGATCTAAGCTCTGGTAAAAGCATTAGGGAAGTCACAATTTATGTATTTTGTCAGTTGACATAGCACATGAAAGACATTACAATCGGGTAGGAGTTTACAAGTAACATCTAATATAAGCATTTCCAATTCAAATGTAATATTTCACAGTAAGCCACTTGAAATACAGGAGAATCAGCACTGTCCAATCGTTAGGTTTTGTTACCTAGGGACCTAGTTCTGATATCAGATGTGTCACATTATTATCTGACTTTTTCTGAGTTTGTTTCTTTATCAGCAAAGAAAGTCTTCCCTGTCCTATAGAGGTTGTTGTCAGGAATGACAATGATAGAAGTACACCATCAGGCCTTTTAACTCTTTAAAAGTAAAACTGTTCAAGTGTTAGAGTGCAAACATTGGAAGCTCAATTTGGATGCCCACTCCAGAAAAGCTGATGTAAAATCATTTAGAAATTACTAAAACTGCAGGATTAAATGAGAAGTAACAGATAGAGACCCTCACTGAAAAGAAACTGCGTTTTCATCAATCTATGGCAAAATCATGTTTCCGCCAATATGGATACCAAAATCTGCTTCCTAAACAATACCACTTAAAAACTGAAGAATGACTCCTTGTTAAAAAAATTAAAAAATAGGCAAAACAAAATAAAAACCCTGGCTTTCAAAACGTTACTGTAGACTGTTCTGATGTTCCCTATTCCTACAGCTTTCGGTTGTAGACTAACAAACGCCAGGTGAGACAAAGCATTCAAATCGCTGGATGTAAGTAGGAGCTGCTGGTCCTTGCTCAAGTAACGAGCAACGGGGGGAAAACTGGAGCAAAAGCATGGGGATGGAAGAGGCGAGGGGATGGGGTGGGGGTAGGTGGCTAGCGAGACTACAAGCTTCATTAGGCAGTCCCAGCCGAAGCAGGCCCAGGAGAGAGACAGCGCAGAAGCTCGGTAATACTCACGCATGGAGGAGACCCCGCCGGTGGGGCTGGATCCCTAGGAGCAAGCGGCGGCTTTACAGGCTGGACCCCAGGCAAAAGAACTCCCTCCCCGCGTTGAGGCGCACCAAACCAGCTGCTTGTCCGCAGGCTGTCCCGGCCCAGAGAGTTGAAAAACGGTGTCCAAGCTTCCAGCTGTCAGACCCAGACCTAGACCCAGACCCTGAGTCAGTGCCAGAGTCAGAGCCAGAGCTAAAGCTAGAAGCAGATCCCGACTCCGTCAGCACTCATCCTCAGCCTCCATTACCGCGGAGCAGAGCAGACGTGGCAGCGCGCGGCGATGATGTCATCTCCGCGACAGCCCAGAGCCTTAGCGGCGAGCTGGCCCCCGGAACTAAACGCGCAGCTCGGAGAGCGAGCACCCAAACCCCTCCTGCGTGCACCTGCGCAGTGGGATGCGTCTGCTCTGGTGGGCTCGCGGCGGCTCTGTCTTCCCCGCCAGCTCTGGCTAATAGTACTTCCTCCTCGGGCCTCGGTCACCCAGCCTGTAAGGGCTCTTGTTATTTCATGGATTCCAAGTAACAACGGTGTGCAAGTTATCACTTCCATTTTACAGATGGGGGAGGTTGGGAGACGTCTTCTAAGGTCACGTCACTGCTAAGTAAAGAAGTCCAAGTCGCGCAGTCTTGCTTCAGCATCCAATGGTGCGCTTATTATAAAGTGAGGGACTAGATAGATGCTGGAGTTACATAAATGACTACCACAAAGAGCCTACAGTCTGGTGGAAGAGGCAAGATAGCAGGAAAACAGTAATTACAATTTATTACAATAAATGCAACGTTAAAATTCTGCCCAAGATCCGGAGATAGCATGCAAAACAGCATAATAAATTCTGTGGAATGGTAGTGGTGTCACTATATATAAAAAAAATCTTCACAGAGAATTTGCGTTTAAAGCCAGGACTCCAAAAATGAATAGGTGGTTCGTGGGAGAATGGCTTTCTATTAATAGTAAAGGAAGTAGCAGATAAGAAGGTAAGGAGGTGGAGAACATCATGAATTCAGAAACTGCCAATAGTTTGGTGTTAGAAGAAAAGTAGAAGTCTCAAAAGAAGCACTTGTGTGAGATCTCTCAGTCCAGAGATTTTAAGCGCCTTAAGAGAAAGCCCTTTGTATAAATTATAGTTAGTTATTAGTTAACTGTTATTGAGAGTTTTTTGTGGTACCAAACACTACGCTAAGTAAGTTTATATATTTTATTTAAATCTCATGTTTTTTGTTGTGTTTTATTTATTTTCTTTTTAGGTGAGCCACCCTGCCACCTGTTGGTAGCTCAGCCACAGCTCAGCTTGGGCTGGGAATCAAACTGACAACCCTGTTGCTCAGAGCTCGCACCCTTGAGTGAGCTCTTAACCAACTAAGCCACTCAACCAGCCCTCATAAAGTTTTGATACTACCATTGTTCCTATTTTACAGAGGAAACTGAAGTTAAGAGAAGTTAAATAACTTGTTGAAAGTAACACAGAATTTAAAACCAGAATGACCAATATCAAAACCACGAAAGTTAGTAATATTCCCAAATATTCTTACTGTCCTAATGTACCACAAAAAACTTTCATTCATGAATATATAAAATTTAATATAGATCAGTACATAATTGCATTGTTTTCACTTGTGGGTGTAAGGAATTTTGCACATTTATTTTCATATTTGCTCTGTTAACTGTTACCTAGCTTGCTACATTAAAACTCCTTTGCCACTTTTCTGTTGGTTCCTCAGCATTCATCTTTCATTCAGCAGTTATTTATTTAGTGACTACTGTGTACCAGGCACAGTGTTAGTGAACAAGACAGATATGTCTGGCCTCCTGGAGCTTATATTCGAATGAAGGAAACATTTAATAAGTGAAATAATTACAGGTTGTAAGTATTATGAAGAAGACAAATAAGGGGGTAAGGTAGACAATAAGGAGAGTGCTATTTTGGGGGGGGATATATGTCTGAGGTGATGACCAGCAGAAACCTGAATGTTGGGAAAGAACCAGAGATGTAAAGATGGGAGAGAAAAGCAGTCCAGATAGAAAACAAAACTTATGCAGAGATTCTAAGGTGGGTTAGAGCTTGGCATGTTTGAGAAACTTAATGTTATACAAAGCTGTATAGCTAGATCATGGTGAGCAAAGGGGAATATGGTGTTAACAAAAACTCCAACTTCCACGGCTGGAAGTCTTTTTCTAAGAAAGGTTTTATTGAGTCAAAAATGCTAGCCAAAAAGAAGACCAGTTTGAGGGCATGAAGTCCAAACCACGAGCAGCATGACTAGGTGGAAAAGGCATACATGTTCATCCTCCCAGATTTTTGCAAGTTATACATCAAGTGAGGGAGAAAGATGTAAGCCATTCCGAAAGGGTTTACATTAGCTATAGACAAAGGGGATGGGAGAAGGTGAAGGGGGGTAGTTCTGGGATAGGCTTAGCAGAGTCCACCAGAAAGAAGTGTCTGCCCCTGTGGATTAGCTGTGGGCAGCAGACTGGAAAATTTATGTGTAAATAATAATGGATAATTGTGGAAATAGCCACCTGGAAATTAATCCTAAATTCCAACAGATATACTAGAATATGAGCATCTTTTGTCAGAGCTGGTCCACAGCTGTTAACAGGCTAACTGTTCTGTCTCTCTTTCACTCTGGCCGCTGTAATTTTAATTTAGAACATCTCATGATGGTTTTTCTTGTCAGTGGCATGAAATTACTTTGAAAATAACAACCAGGAGCTTGAAGATGGAGGGTGTTTTAAACCAGTGTTTGCATTTTAAGTTAGTGGCTGGCAGAGGACCTAGAAATCTGTAGTTTTCATAAGCACCAGGGAGATCCCGGCACTTATTCACACATAGGAATCACTGGAATAAAACACCTCCCCTATTGAGGAAATGAAACTTATTTGGATTCACATGCAGCTTATTCCTCCTGTGTATAGGGCCCACTTAACTCCCAATCTCACTGCTCTTCTTCCACACAGTAAACATTGCAAGATTGCAGAAAATACTGATTTGTTTTCACTTCAAAGACATTATAATGCAAGATGATTTCCATTTTCTTCTGATCATAGAAAACGAAATGTGGAAAAACTTTTATTACTAGTTTTAACAATTACTCATCACTATATTCATTTTAGACTAATATTGGAAATGAGGGTTATTGTGGTGTTCATCTGTGTAGTACACGGCTTTGTTATGTACTTTCAACGAACATTCATTTTGCAGTACTGCACACTTTCCTGGAAGTAAAAGAAACTGACTAAAGTTTTCATTTTGTGGATAAAAAAAAACTTTAGCTTGAGAGAAAGCTTGAAAGAGTTTATTTGGGCCAAACTGACGACAATTGCCAGGAAGCAAAATCTCAACGGATTGAGAAAATGCTCTGTAAAATGGTGGTTTGCAGAATCAAAGGAGGAGGGTTACATGAAATCCATTGGGGTGGATTAAGGGGGTGGGAGAAAGCAAAGCAGGGAAAATCTCTGGGATTGGATAAAAGTAAATTGGAGGAACAGGTACTTATTTTACATAGGCGGGTATAGGATTGTTAATAGTTCACTTTTTACAGCACATAGAGATGGTAATCAGGGGACAAGAATAATAATGAGGGACTCTATAGTTTCCTGCTTTGGTCTGGAAAAAGGGATTACTGACATTCCAAGGGCATGGTATCCTAGAGGCAAAAAGACAATAGGCTAATTTAAGGTAAAGATTGACCTTTGTCAAGGAAGTTACAGATTAAAGATGTGACTTCCCACCATAGTTAGTTAGGCCCACCTTAGTTAGGAATTTTTATGTACATACCATCCTATGTGGCTATTTTCAGTCTCCTGAGCTTGTCAGGGTTTAACCTGTGGCCCCTTTTCCATCCACCATTTGGATTCCTGAAGAAGTCCTGTATGATATAGTGTTGGAGATCCATTTTCTCCTCTTGCCTTGCCTACTCACCTAGAATGAGTGGTATGGCCCACTCCTAACTAACCAACGTTATTTTATCTTACACCATTTCTCAACATGCATCCTAAATTCTACCCTCCACCACCATCGTCTCAAGTTCTATGCCCATCTTCTACAAATTATGGCTTCCCCTTTTTTTTAGTGACTCCAGCACAATATTTCTTAATTGCAACATTTCCTTTTTTCAGCCTGAAATACACCCTTCTTACCCCTTTCTCCAGATTTCCAGTTCATATTGATCTTTTCCCTCCACTGAAACCAGAAGCGTTTACATATTGCCTTAAGTTGTAAATTGTCTTTGGGGAAGCATATTTTTCTTCCCACTAGCTCTAAACTCAAGGACACAGATCTCACCATGCACATTTTATACAATGGATAAATGCTTGCAGTTGTATGATCACTATGCATACCTACATACCTATATTGTCCAGTAGTAAGACAGGTTAGTTAGTATAATATCAGGCAGTGAGGAATTCCCAGGTAGACTAAGCAAAGATAAGGAAAAAACTGGTTATTCCTTAAACCAGCCATTCCTTTCAAAATTATAGGGTAACTCCCACATACTGGAACAGAGACATCAACCATGCCCCAGAGCAACAAAGCCATTTTGGAGGACATTATGAAAGGCCTCCCTAAAGGCTGAGCAACAGAACAGGTCCAATGGACTCCTTGATAACAGGCACCAGTATTTCAGCATTCCCCCTTTCAAGCAGAAAAAAAAAGTATAAAACTTAAGCCTTTTACCTTAGCTAGTGGGCATCCCATTTTCCAGGTACTGCCTCCCGCTTGGGAGCTGTAACCTTTCTCTTGCTTTAATAAAACTATCATCTGCTACAAACTCTACCTCTCTGGTCCGTGTCTCCATTCTTCGGTTTCACGAAACTACGATCCCGGCACAAGAAATATCCTACATCAGTAGAATGTTGTCCACTGAAGTTTTTCTATGTCTAAGTCACCCCAATTGTTATAAATTCCTATTACGAAGAGACCTGTGCTATACTATTTGCAAGTCCTTGGGGTCTAACAGTGCTGTACACTACAGTGTGGGGTCTAAAAAAAAGTAATACTTTAACCCTCACTTTCTAAGTTCTAGTTGGGCTAATAATCAAATTAACACAGATTAATAGGAGAAAATAAAGTTTTAATACACATGGGGCATTTCAAACTTTAATGCACATGGGGAATTCACACAAGCATGAAAATTCCAAAGACACGCAACATTGGGTACATTGGACCTTTGGTCAAAGGAGAAAAGGAGGGGGGAACGGGGTCTTAGATTTTAGAACTGAGAATGGGCGATTTACAGGTAGCTGTGGAAGAGGGGAACACACAAGGCCCGCACATTCTTGCTAGGCAATTCAGAAACGATGGGACACAC